TAGTTAAATCAAAGTGGTTACTTTTTTTTGGCTGGGCAGTGTAGTTTTACACACCGTCTTATTTTACTTTCTCAGGACTTAAAACAGTTTTTTGGGGGCAGACCCCCTCAAAGAAAACAATATATTTACACACGTAAGGTCATCATCTTAATAGTTGTGTATGCTCATCCGTGAGCAGAGCATCAAGTTGACATGTCTATTACAGATGAATGCGGCGATTACCATCTTGTTCAGCAAAACGCCTCACAAACGTATTAAGATCAACAGCTTTAGTACGTTTTGATTCAATGCTGAGTACAGCCAAACTGACAGTCTCTTCTCTGTCATTGTAGACCGCAAATACCTCATTCCTTCAGTGCTTGGGTCCGAATGCTTCTCGTTTTGCGCCGTCCAGTTCAAAATGAAATCGCCGCCAAACGTATGTCCACGCTCGCGCCAGGACCGGGGGACGTGCATGACGTGCATCTTGTGCTGCATTCACTTGCACTCGGACATTAGAGACTTTCTCTCATAAATGTCCGATGAGCCACAACTTTTCTTTCAAAACAAAGCTGCCAACTGGGGTGGCAAGGCCTATTTTTAGGGTGTCAGTTGCCACCCCGGTAGGTGAAACTAGGCTACTAGCTACAGTACAGATGGAACTAGATGAGCTGTTAACTCTCGCTCTGAATTTTTTTATTCTCGCACTGACTTAGACAGGTTGAAAGAGACACACACATTTTTCCCACCCGCATTCCGCGAAGACCCGCCCTACTGTGCCTCTGATTCGCAGATTGTTTGGGGGGGAAAAACGCTGACTGGATGCTGAATGTGATTGGACCAAAGCGTTGACACACACAGGTGGAACACAGTGGAACAGTCAGACATGCAGAGCGCTGTTTGCAGTGGACATAGCGGAGAATTTTGACTCGTTGCGAATACGTTGTGGCGATGTCTCACATATAATACAGAGAGATAATACATATGAAAAGTATAATTAGCTCAGAGTCCGGAGACAGTGGTGGTTCGGTCCGGATCCGGACCGGAGTCCGTAGTTTGAGGATGCCTGACCTAGAGTCTATGTGTGCACGTCTCTGGGCATACCTCCCACCCCCTCGAAAGTTATCGCTGACTCAGCCATGTTTATGCAGCACTGCACGTGGAGATGTGGACGCACAAGTCGCGCAGATTACGTACATATAAACCTACAAAGTACTGATATTATAGTAAATAAAAAAATAATTATTTTTGTGTAGTTGTATATTGCAATAATAACGTATGGTTGTCACAAAATCCCACGGCACACCCGGACTTGCCTCACGGCACACCAGTGTGCCGCGGCACACCGTTTGGGAACCACTGCCATACAGTACTCTGATAGCGCCGGGTGTACATTCTCTGGCTGTGCTGTGGTTGGTGACAAACCATGCCAGAGCCCTCCACACGCTGCATTTCACACAGGCTCTCAATATGTCGTCGTTTAGGAGAATACTCGTAAACTGCGCGTTCACGCTCAACACCACTAAGGGATGAGCGGAGGTGTGTGCAGTGCTGTCCACACGAGGCGTGATAATGGCCCTCCGTGGGCTCATTATGACCGTGGGTAGGAGGTGTCTGAGACAGAGGAAAAATCCATGCTGCCTAAACCCAAAAAGTTTACGGTAGACGGATTTGAAATAGCAAGCCCAGCTGTTTTATTAACCGATAAGTTAAAAAACCCAGCTGGCTTTAGGCAGCGAGCCATGCTGCCAAGTAACCAATAGGCTATTGGCAGCTGGCTTAACCGGGGAGCCTTGCTGCATATTAACTTCCCTCTGTCCATCTAACCCACGCGCCGTCACTCAAGGCGCGAACCTGCTCTGGATGTGCTGTGGTTGTCATGGTGACGAGCCACGCCAGAGCCCTCCAGACGTTGCATTTCACACAGGCTCTCCTTATGTCCTAAGGCTCGTAAACCGGACATTTAAGGTGCGTTCACGCTCAACACCCCTAAGGGATGAGCGGAGGTGTGTGCAGTGCTGTCCACACTGTAATAATGGCACTCGTGGCTCATTACGACCGTGTGTAGGAGGTAGGTTTGGGACAGAGGAAAAAAATCCGAGCTGCCTAAAACCCACAGGTTTTAAAGACAGCCGGTTATGCAGTGAGCCATGCTGCCTATAACCGACAGGTTAGGGGCAGCCGGCTTACCCGGTGGGCCTTGCTGCTTATTATTTTATCAATCTGTCCATCGACTACACGCGTCGCCACTCTGAGTAATACTCTGAGAGCGCACGCATGTTTTGGATGTGCTGTGGTTGTCATGGTGACGAGCCACGTCAGAGCCCTCGCCGCCGTTGCCCGTGAAGCAGCCCAAGAGGGGCCCGGACGGAAAAGGCTGCGAGGGGGCCTCCACACGCTGCATCTCACACCGGCTCTCATCCTGTCTCTGTTTCGGAGAAGGCTCGTAAACTGGACATTGAGGCGCGTTCACGCTCAAACCCGCTGAGGGAATGAGCGGAGGTGTGTGCAGTGCTATTCACACAGTGCGTAATAACAGCCCTAGGCTCATTACGACCGTGTGTAATATAGGCACATCTGGGACAGAGAAAAACCGTGCTGCCTATAACCGACAGGTTAGGAGCATCAGGTTTAACCGTCAAGCCCTGCTGTTTAATAACCTACTGGTTAATTACAGCTGGCTTATGCCGCGAGCCCCGCTGCCACGCTAACTAACAGGTTACAGCCGGCTCAAACGGCGAGCCCCGCTGTCTGTTAACCGTACAGGTAACAAACAGCTGGCTTATGCACCTCCACACGCTGTATTACACAGCGGCTCTCCTCATGTCGCCGTTTAGGAGAAAACTCGTAAAACGGACATTGAGGTTCACGCTCAAACCTGCTTGAGGAATGAGCGGAGGTGTGTGTCGGAGGCACATTTGTGACATAGGAAACAAACCCGGGCTGTCTAATTAACCGACAGGTTTTAAAGACAGCTGGTTTGAGCCGTAAGCTTTGCTGCCTAACAACCGACAGGCTGTGAGGCTGCCGCTTATGCAGCTTTTTTTATGTCATCCGGAGGAGAGCTCTCCTGAACCGGGGGAACGGGGAGATCTCATTAGGCGGCTGCCTTTCCGATGATCTCCGGGAGTTCCTGGAGAATACCGCCTATCGACGGCAGAGCCGTGATGGCGGATAGAGGGACCCGTTGACCCGTCGTCAGCCCGGCAGCCGGACCTAGGCTCGGCTACCGGGCTGACCCCGGGCCCCCGCCCCGTCTCCCCCGCCGGAGGAGAGGGAGACAAGGCGGGGGAACCACATGGTGATCCGTGAATGGAGGGGAAGGAGTCGCCTGACTGCTACCCGCCACTCGGATCCAATAAATAAAGGGCTTGGTCCACAGAGTAAAACTCCTGGACCAGCCAATCATCCTCGGCCGCAGCAGCGAGAACGTCCGCTCTCCACTGCCTGTGGGCCAGAGGGAGACGGACACAATGAGTGCACGACACCTGGGGAGTGAGAGCCGCGTTTGCGTGCTCTAATCCCCGGCAAAACTCACACCGTGAGCTCCGGTCGTAACTCATATGTCGGGTTGACACTGGCCCCCCACCCTGTTTCCCCCATCCGGAGGAGAGGGAGGATGGGCCCAGGGGGACCAGGAATGTTTGCTCTTTTACTAAGTAGCTCTTAAAAGAACTTGTTTTGCCTGTCAATGCTTCTGCAACGGAGTGCTGAAGAAAAGTAGGAGTGGATTGTAGCAGTGTTGTAGTCAAGTCACCAATTCACGAGTCCAAGTCACTCTCGAGTCCCCACTCTTCGAGTCCGAGTCCAAGTCCGAGTCACCTAGGGAGAGTCGTGGTCGAGTCCGAGTCCAAGTCCGAGTCACCCAAGGAGTGTCCGAGTCGAGTGCGAGTCCGAGTCATCATTACCTGTGTTCGAGTCCGAGTCCAAGTCCGAGTCACCCAAGGAGTGTTCGTGTCGAGTCCGAGTCACCATTACCTGTGTTCGAGTCCGAGTCCAAGTCCGAGTCATCCAAGAAGAGTCCAAGTCAAGTCCGAGTCACAAGTCTTCATGTATTAATCTTAGTGGATATATGTGTTGAAATGTAGCTGTAGCTCCTCTACATTGCTTTTATCCTGTCATGGTATACTAATGTGTCTATTGAACTGCTGTGAAGCGAGTGTGGCTACAATTGTTGTATTAAAAAAGGTGCTATACAAATATAAAGCTTATTACTAATAATAATAATAATTATTATTATTATTATCATCATCAAGGTTGAGTCCAGTTCCAATATTGCCTCCAGTGCTCCGTTCTGGCATCTTCAAAGAGCTGCTTTACAAATGAAAATGGTATACATTAAACACAATGACACAATGTCACAATTGAACTTATTTAATGGTTTGAAAACCCACAGAAACTGAAAATACATTATTAAGAACAATAGAACATGAGAAAGCATGCAGGGCTTTCTACGCAATATAAGTAACATTTTCATTCAATTTCCAATTTGAATCTGGCTCGAATTACAAAGTCATAGAACCAATTCCTCTCTATGTTAGTGAAGTGATGGGGTCCCCTCTCCTACCATAATGTGGCCCTATTGGACAGACACCCAGTTGAAATTATGCATTTAGAATACTTAAAAAGCATCTTACAGGTGTACGGAAAACCACAAACAACACCAGCAGAGCCGAATGAGGCCAATTCCAATAGAGTGCCACAGTGACGCATCCTAAAACCCGGAAGTAAACTTCTTCCGGTTCCTTCGTCAAAGAAGCAATGCATTTTCTCCATAGGATTTTAGAAAATAGCTCGAAATAAGGTCTGTGGTTGAGACACATTTAAGAGACAGATCACGTGGAGATTATCCAAAACGTGATCTGTCTCTTAAATGTGTGTCAACCACAGACCTTATTTCGAGCTATTTTCCAAAATCCTATGGAGAAATTGCATTGCTTCTTTGTCGAAGGAACCCATGCGCAGCTTACTTCCGGGTTTTAGGATGCGTCACTGTGCCACTCTAGTCTGGCAGGGAACTTTAGTCTGGCATAACAATATGTTTTTAGCTGCTAGCGTCAGGAGCAGATGAGCACCCACTCAGGCACACACACTTAAACATCCTTGTTGCATTTTAAAAGCATCAGATTTGACAACATCGAACAACTCAACCTTGCACGGTGAGGCCTCATAAAAATGCCTCCATGACTGAATACCCTTTCAATGGGTGCACTGGAAGCAGGGATGGAGAATACCTGTGTGGCAAACTGATAGAGGACAGGGAACTGGGATTTATTTTGTTGCCAAAACTTGAAGCATGGGTCTGAGGCCTGGTTGTCGATCAAGTCAAGGTATGCAGTCAGCTGAGCCTGGACAGACCGACTGTGTTGGTGGAGGAGGGAGTCTTGCTGTAGTGGGAGAACATTCTCAGCTTCTTCTGAGGAGCTTCAGGAGCAGGAGGAGACACTGGAACATCACCTTGTTCTGGTCCTGCTGCTGTGTCTGCTGTTGAGATCATTTGCTTCTCACCCTCTGCCTTGATACAATCTGAAATGAGAGGGTATACTTTTGTGAATAAATCTGCTACTGATCTTATTATTTTGTTTGTGATACCATTTATAGATGATATTAATTTGTTTTACTTGAAGAGGCTAATGTGTAAAAATTGCCTTATAATTGGGTAATTCTTTCCATAAGGATTGAGTATTCTTATTTTGGCTACACACACCCCAATATCTACAAACAGATAAACCACTTCTAGACATTCATGTACACATATAACTATAATTAATAATGGCTAGTATAAGTTAGAGCCTGCATACATATATAACAAGTGAACATGTCTCACCAATGATCTGAGTCATTAGCTGATCTTTGTCATCACTGTCCAGCTGCACATCATGTTTTAGCCACTGGAAACCAAACGATGGGTCTAACACTGATGCTATGAAGTAGGCAGTCGTGAAAGGAAATTTGGTGGGACCTCTTCCTTCAGCTGGCTCGCATCCTGGCATCTTCACTGCTTGGAAGATCTCTGTGAACCTTGTTTTCAAGGAGCTCGCCAGAGCTCTCACCAGGGGCCCACAGTATTTGACTCTTCCTCTTATTTCCTGCAGATGGCAGTGCAGAGAAAGAACACAGGGCACAACCACACTGGCTGTGACAGTTTTCTCTCCCTGAGTCAGGTCGGTTGCCTCCAGGAATGGGTCAAGAACTTCGATGAGTTCTTTCAGCTGAGCATAATCTCGCTGGGATAAGATGAGGGCTTTGTGTCCCTCTGAGTTCAACATATAAGAGAGATTTTGCATGTCAAATTTAACATACGCCTTTACCTGCTTTAAAGTTGAATTCCATCGTGTGGCAATTGCTGATGGAATTGTGGCATCCCCAAAGCAGGACTCAAAGCGGTCTTTAAATGAGGTGCTACTATGGAGGAGGCTGGCTGTGCAGGATAGCTTGGCTATCTGTGTACCTGACAGCCCACTGGCTTCTTTCAGACCATCTTTGATCACCAACTGCAGTGTATGCTTGAAGAACGACAGTCTCTCCATCTTGCAGTTCTGATCCAGAGCAGCAATAACTGTCACGATCTGTCTTTATGGTGTCTTGTCTTGTTTCATGTTTTAGGTTGAAAGGTCTTCACTTCCTGTCTTGCCTGTTTCTGTCTGCGTTGTGTCTTGTTTAAATCTGTCTGTGGTTCCCGGTCGTTAGTTTCCCTGGTGTGTCTAATTTACCCGATTGTGTTCACCTGGTGTCCCTGTGTTTTCTCCTCCCTCCTCACCTGTGTCTTGTTTCTGTGATTAGTCTTGTGTGTATTTAAGTTCTGGTTTTTCTGTCTGTCTTTGTCGGTTCGTCTTGTGTAATGACCAGTTCGTCGGAAGCAGAGGACGGAATGTTTGGACGGAGGGAACTAAATAATGGATTAAAGTGCTTTTTGACGGGAATTTTTTCGGCAAGAATACCCCTGAACAGGATTGCTGTCGGGGGGGGAGTTCTGAACTGGAGGATTGGAGAGGAAAAGAGGAATTACGGGCATTCAGAAACCGTGAGCTGGAGGAGGGGAAAAAGCGAATTGTTTGGTGGAGAAAACCGGGGAAAAAGGGGTGTTTAAAGACATTACACGAACTTTTTTCCGGATAAAACCCCCCTAATCAGCTTTGCTGACGGGGGGGGGACATTTGTGAGCGGAAAATAAGGAACAAGAAGTAAAGAAATACGGGTTCTTAAACCGTGAGTGCAGCTATGCCTGCTAAGGAGGGGGAGGGGCATAGTGGAGGAAAAGAGAAGCTGGAAATAACGGTGGAAACTAATCGAAAGAGTGGAAGAAATAAGGAGAAGGAGGAGGAGGGTACAGGAAAAATGGAGATGTCTGTAAAATTGAGGAGAATGAGAAAAGAGGATGCTGTAAAATCGAGGAGAATGAGAAAAGAGGATGACTATGCTTTGATGGTGGAGGAGGAGATGGAAGTGGATGAGGAACGAAAGGTGAAAGCTGATGGGAAGAGTGGAACAAAAAAGGAGAAGACACTACAGAAGGAGGAAAAAGAAGGAGGAAGTGGAGAGTGGGGAAGTGTAAACTCCGGCCCCGCCGCTGCTGCAGTAGCAGTAGAGGAAGAGGTGAGCGATATGGCGGCAACAGGAGGTGATGAAGGAGAAGGCGTCTCGGGAGAGAAGGAAACGACGGGTGGAGAAAGCCAAGAGGAGGGAGGGGGAGAGAAGAAGAAGAAAGAGAAAAAAGAGAAGAATACTGAAAGAGAAAGAGGGGAAAACAAAGAAGGGAAGAATGAAAGAGATGAAAAGAAAAAAGGAAACGGGGAAAGAGGGAAGTGAGAACGATGAAGGAGGTGTGGAATATAAAGCAGAGTGGACTCTTGAAGCTACTGTGGAAAGGGGGGAAATCAAAATTTCAATGATGGAACTAATGGTGGGGGTGCAAGAAATGTGTGGGAGAGTTTTGGGATGTAGGGTAAAAGGGGAAAGGGTGTTTGAATTAACGATGCATACACAAGAGGGAAAGGAAAGATTGTTGTAAGGGTGAGGGGGGTGAAGGTGGATGCACGGGAATTAGGGAAAAAGGAAGCAGTGGTGTCTTTTATGTACATGCCGGTTTATTTGGGGGATAAGGTGATTTTTGATAAGCTGTCACAGTGGGGGGTGAAACCGGCGTCCCAAATTATAAGGAGGATGTTGCCGGGGACAAGGGTGGTGGATGGCACGAGATTTTTGAGGGTGGAGTTTGGGGAGGAGGTGAAATCCCTCCCCTACTCAACAAAATTTGAAGGGGTGGAGGGTATTGAATATGTTAACGTGAGGCATGACAGGCAGAGCCAGGTCTGCAGGTTCTGCCTCAGGCCTGGGCACATTTATAGAGAGTGCCCGGCCATCATATGTCATAGGTGTAGGGGGTCGGGGCATCTCGCGAGGAACTGTGGGATGGGGAGGGAGAGGAGAGAAGGGAGGGAGCAAGGGCCCCAAAAGGGAGCAGAGGGGGAAGAGGAGTCATTCCCCCCCCCGGAAGGCCCCAATTCTCAGCCCCCTCCCCCCCCCCCTAAAAAGGGGGGTGGAGAGGGTGGGTTGGAGCCTGAAGGTGTGGGAAAAAATGACGAGGGGAGGATGGATGGTGGTGAGGATGTGGGAGGAGAGGGTGAAGTAGAAAGGAAAAGACAACGGGGGGGGGGGAAGTAATGGGGATGATGATGGGGAAAGTGATGAAGGTGATGGTGGTGGTGTTGATGAAGGGTCTGTGTGTGGGAGTGATGGTGCAACAAGTGGGAGGAAAGATATAAAGAGGATGAAGGAGAATGAAAAGGAGGTTGAAAGAGGAAAAGGCGATGATGAGGCGGGGATGGAGGGAGTGGAAGAAAGAGGGAGTGATGGGAGTAAAAAAGACACAGAGGATGAGGAAGAGGTAGAGCAGCGAAAAAAAGAGGAGGAGCTTCTAAAAATGATGAAGATGAAGGAAGAAATGGAGGAGGGGAGAGTGAGAGAGAGGGAGAGAGAGAGGAGGAGGGGGGAATGGAGAAGGGGAAGATTGAGGAGGATGAGAGGGAGGGATGGGGGGAGAAGATGGATAAAGATGAGGAGGAGCGGAAACAGAGGGAAGAAGAGATGGGGATAGAGGATATTAGTGAAGATGAGGATAAGAAGGGAAAAAAGGAGGGGAAGGGTGAAGAGTCAGAGGAGAGGAATGAGAGAGTTAGAAAGAAAAATGAGGGGTTCAGAGAGGAGAACTATGAGGAATTTGGTGTGAATGTGGGGGTGATGAATGGGAAGGGTGAGTGGGTAGAGAGCGAGGAGGATGTGTATGGACTGATTATTTTGCGAAGGCTGTATGGAGTGAAAAGGGGGGAAACATTGGAAGAGTGGGAGGATTATTGGGAAGAGAAAAAAAAACTGGCGATAATAGAGATACGGGGAGAGGTGGAGAAGGGAGAGTGGGATTATGATTAGGTAGTTTGACGGTGGTGAAATGTGGGGGGAATGTGGCAGGGCTTGAATGTATTTTGGACACAATTGAAGGAAGCCAAAATATGAATTGAGAGTTTGTTTTTTATGAGACTTTGTTGTGATTTGGTGGGTATATGTGATAAATGGGAATGGGGAGAGTGAAAGCACGATTAGGTGGGGTAATAGGGAGATGATTCGGTGTGTGAGGGAGAACAGGCATGGAAAACTGAGATGTTTGTTTAATGTATGAAAGTGAAAAGGGAATTAAAATGTATAATGAAGGGAGATGTTTGAATGGGGAATTATGTTTTATGTGATGTGATGGAAAGCCTTGGGGTCCTTTCTTTTTTGGGGATCGGCGAGGGGGACTATCATGTTTTTAAAGTGTTATATTGTATATTGTTTATATGATTGATATAATAAAATAAAAAAAATAAAAAAAATAAAAAAAGTCATGACTAGTTCGTCGGTGAGTGTTCTGTTTTGTCTTTGTTTAGCACCTAGCCTTGAAATAAAGGAATTCTCACTTTAATCTGCATTTGGGTCCTACCTGCTTCGCACACCGTGACAGTACGAACCGACCACAAAATGGACCAGCAGATGATCCATGAGAGGTTGAATTACAGCATTTAACTTTATATCTGGCTTGCTGCTTCGATTGGTGGAAGGGAGCGTCCAGTGTTCGGCAGAAGAGGGCCGCTCTGGTAGAGGCGCTCCGGTTGGCAGCAGAGAAACCATGTTTTGTTGAGTTCTTACCTGACTGGATTTTGGACTTCCTTCAAGCATGTGATTCCCGGCCTGCTTGCCCCAGGCATGCTAGCTCCCTGTCTCCCAATTCCCAACCTGGCACCATACGCCTTGGTGGGTTCCGCCTGAAGTCAACCCGTGCTTCTGCCCCAGTTCCTGCTCCTGTCCAGGAGTCGTATTCCGGAACTCGTCTGGCTTATGGAGGTCCACGGAGTATTCAGGAGGCTGCTAAGAGGAGTCGTCACAAGGCCAGGCTAGCAGCCCGAACCCCAGCAGCCATGGTTCCGGCTCCAGTACAGGCCCCAACAGCCATGGTTCCGGCTCCAGTGCCGGACCCAGCAGCCATGCCTCCATGCTCCAGTACCGGCCCACGCAGCTTTGCGTCCATACTGGATTATCTGGTTTACACAGCCAGGGTCCAGGCTTCCGCGCCGGACCCAGCAGCCATGATTCTGGCTTCAATTCCGGCTCCAGAGCCGGCCCATTCAGCCATGTTTCCGGCTCCAGAACCGGACTTTACAGCCATGTTTCCGGCTCCAGAACCGGACCTTACAGCCATGTTTCCGGCTCCAGAACCGGACCTTACAGCCATGATTCTGGCTTCAATTCCGGCCCCCGCAGCCATGGTTCCGGCTTCAGTACCGGCCCCGGAAGCCATGGGCTCGACTCCAGTTTCGGCTACAGGGCTGGCTCCCCAGCCGACTCCAGCACCTCGTCTTCTGCTGGCTCCCCAGCCGACGCCAGCTCCCCGAGTCTTGTCGGCGTACCGGCCGACTCCAGCACCTCGTCTCTTGCTGGCTTCCCAGCCGACGCCAGCTCCCCGAGTCTTGTCGGCGTACCGGCCGACTCCAGCACCTCGTCTCCTGCTGGCTCCCCAGACAACGCCAGCTCCCCGTGTCCTGTCGGCGTACCGACCGACTCATGTCCCCTCTCCAGTTCCTACCCGAGTCCCCTCTCCAGTTCCCTCTCGAGTCCCCTCTCCAGTTCCCTCTCGAGTTCCCTCTCGGGTCCCCTCTCGAGTTCCCTCTCGGGTCCCCTCTCGAGTTCCCCCATCGGGTCCCCTCTCGAGTTCCCCATCGGGTCCCCTCTCGGGTCCCGTCTCGAGTTCCCTCTCGGGTCCCGTCTCGAGTTCCCTCTCGGGTCCCGTCTCGAGTTCCCTCTCGGGTCCCCTCTCTAGTTCCCTCTCGAGTCCCCTCTCTAGTCCACTCTCCAGTCTCCTCTCAAAGCCCTTCTCGAGTCCCCTCTCAAGTCTCCTCTCCAGTTCCCTCTCAGGTCCCCTCTCGAGTCCCCTCTCTAGTCACCTCTCAAGTTCCTACCAGAGTCCCCTCTCGAGTCCCCTGATCTAGTCCCTCCTTTAGTCCCTCCTCTAGTCCCCTCTCTAGTACCTCCTCGAGTCCCCTCTCTAGTTCCCCTCGCGAGTCCCCTCTCGAGTTCCC